AAAATCATATTATAAAAGCTCTTTTATTGCAACAAAATGTTTATCAATAAGATTTCAAAGTTGCTTTCTTATTAACAACTTTTTCACTTACAGTTAAGAATTGCTTAGCTTACTAACGACTAAACATTGAGAATAACAGTCTCCAACTGGATTGCTAAGAATTAAGCGACACATCATGCTGAAGGCATGTACCGCAATAGTTCAATGTCTGTGGCTATTCTAAGTACTCGCTAGGAAGTACTTAGATAGAAAAGGTGATTACAAGAGACTATAACTTCCAAGTTTTTTTTTATCAGTATCTTTTGATAAATTAAATGACTAATAAATTTAAATATTAGCACGCGCAATAGATATACGACTGATAAGAGTTAGATATAGAAAGCTGATATGGATCTAACAAAAGCAGTATCAAATTAAAAATATGCTAGACGAACGTTAAAGGAATCGTCTATCCTTCGGCATTATTCGCTGAATGCGTACTGCTGTTGTATACGCGAGCGTGTAAAAGGATCTGCGGTCAGAGAGGTAAGAGGAAGAGACGATACCAGACTTCCACAGCAGGGATGTGAAGCGTACGTGCTGACAGGCGTGTACGGAGACAGGACTGGCTACTAACATATATGGTGGAACGAGGTCGAACGTCTCTCGAACCTTCCATGGACGGCTGAGACTGCGCCGTTTGAACCTACCTCGATGAGCAATGGATACAAATGTCGCTCGATCCATGTCTCATCGGTTCACCATGTGAACCGTTTTAATGATACAATCCTTCAATTTTAGAACTTGTGAATAACTGACTTATGTACTATTTATACCTTTTATATCAGTCTATATTTTAGACTGAAGCACAATTACGATTAATTACACATGTTTAAAAAGTTTATCTTTTTCATTTATTATCGTTTAAAGAAAATAGAAAAATGAATTATTTAATTTGTTGGCTGATTATATTATCATTATTTTCTTGCCGTAAAGTCTTTATCTATTTAAAAAATTGTTTTCAACTAGAAGAAAAATATTAAGAATATCTGTTCTTTTAATAATCTAGTATTAGAGATAAAATATACCAATAAAGAAATACCAAGGTTTGGAATTATGTGGAGGAATATATTTATTTTAAATTTATTTTAAAGTTGATCGCAAACGCTGGGAAATGTATATTAAACACAATGAATAGCGTGAATAGCGCAACTTTCAAATAGATCGATATCTATTAATATATAATATATTAAGTGTAAATGGGATAAATGTGAGAGATCGGTGCAACTTGTCCTACAAATTATTATGTGAGACTGCTAAATGACGTGGGCGCTGATGAAATGATATACGTTGCAAAAAGATCTTATTAATAATTGACAAGTATGTACATTATTGTAATTAATGTTATAAATGTATATCATTATAAAATTATTAAACATAAACTAACACTCGAAAATCTTTTTATCTCATTTCTTTTCTGTTTTGTTAAATTTCAAATCTTTAGAAAAAAAAAGTTATTATAGTCTTGCATTGATAGATAAAATACTGTCTTTTGTAGCATTATAAGTAAATATGTAATTAATTAAATGTCACACAATCAATAATTTTTATATATAAAATTTTAAAAATTTTTATTAATTCTATTTTTTGTAAGAAATATTAGATCAAAATTTCTTTCTCTTTAATTTTTAAACTTCTTTTTCATATATAAAAATGTTTAATATCGTGAAAAATATATATAGATACATATATCTTATT